ATTTTTATTTCAGATTTAAAACACTGCGATTTTGCAAACAAAACAGACGTATGTTGCTTAGATGGTGTACAAAACCAAATCTCTGGCAATGTTTCCATTTGTGATTGCCCTTTATCTTGTTATTCGACCTCATACCATAGAGAGATATCAATGGCTGCTTTGCCAAACAAATCACGTTTTTCTGTCAATGGAACTAGTTTAATAACGAATTTCAGGAAGAATTACGCTATTTTAAGAGTATTTTACAAAACTTTGTCTCACCGCACATACAAACAATTACCCATGTTTCGTAATTCTGAAATATTTAGCTGTTTAGGTGGTGCTATGTCACTTTGGTTGGGTGTTTCATTATTTGCTTTTTTTGAAGTCGCGGGTATTTTAATTGTCTTTTGTCGTTGCGCGTATCATACCGCTTTTAAAATATTGCATAATCTATAAATTTTCTACCAACAAATTATCAAAATTCCAGCTGCTTATTAAATGGATAACCTAAAACACACTGGTGGTTTAAAAAAAAAAACAGTTTTCTATCAAGAAAACAACTGAGTTTGAAAAACAATTTTTGCCGGAAATTCATGTCAGAGAGCATAATATTTTTTCTAGAATTTCGGACTTTAACTAAAACAAATTTCAATAGATGGCGCTATATATATTTGTAACAGAAAACGTTTAAATCGGGGAGAAATTATCGAACGATTTTTGGATAACACTATATTAATTTTAAAATTCCATTCAATGCAGGATTTAAACGTATGACTTATATGCTTGTTTATAAAATTTAAATATCGCAAAACGTATTTGTCTTTTTAGAAGTCGAAATACTCTTAAACATTTAATAAATATCCATAATTAGTTATATTTAAAAAAAAACATGCATTGTCTAAAATGCTCTATTTAATTAATTAGTAGTTTTCGAAAAACAAATAAAAGTAAATCATGAGATTAAATAATATTTAAATGTAAGAAATTTTCATCTTCAACGAGTAAAACTTCAAAAATTTAAAAAAGGAAATAAGTACTTCAAATAAATATAATTAGCCATTATTTTGACTTGCGTTTTGAACATTTATAGGGCTCTACACTTTTACATTTTCTCAAATAAATTAAGCTATGAATACGCGTGATTATACGCGTGAATTATGGAAGATTAATTTGATACAACAATTGCGAAACAGTAAGATTAATTTGATATCACGAGAAGGAATTAATCTTCATAATAACTACAGAAGATAGTACTTCTATTAATTCCTCTAAAAAGCGCTAACTTTTGAAACTATTTTCAAATGAATTTCAAAACATTACATATTAGATACAATAGATGTAATAGCTGCATCGTAAATTGTGTTTTCATAATTTTTAAAGACGAGTCTCTAAAGAATTAGCATGGAAATAGTGATCCCTGTTTCTCAGATGCATTTAAAGATGTACGAAATAATACTCTCAATAATTTTGCGAGAAAATAATTCCCCTCTTTTTTCTAAAAATGCTTTTATTTTAACAAAAATAATAATGTCTATTACAGATTACTTGTACCTTAAATTGAAAAAGAAATTTGATTAAGAAAAATTGTTTAAGAAAAGTTTATCCTATTTCCTCGAAAGATTACTGAATTAAATTAAAAAATGAACGAATGCTTTATAATCAATTTGAAAACAAGAGATACTGTTCAACATGATGAAAGCAAAACCATAGATGAAATTGTTCTAAAGAAAATAAATAGAAAAGTGCGAAAAGCATAAAGATATATCCCAAACAAGAGCGCTTTCAACTGAATAAACAAAAGTGTACTTTAAAGTTTTCTCCTAGCCCCCATGATCAGGGCTCAGAAGATTCATCAATTCAAGCCTTATCGAAAGTCAGAAAGGCAGACACAAAATTTAGAAAATTAACTTGGTTGTTATTACTGTTTATAGGAATCGGTGGGTGCATTTACGAAATTCAGAAATTTTTAAATGCTTATCTGACTTTTCCTATTGTCATTACAGTTGAAGATGAATATGAATCGCAGCTGAAATTTCCAGCCGTTACTGTCTGCAACTTGAATCGACAGAAAACTGTGTATGACTATTGTATAAACCTTGACATCATTGATCATTGTTTGCACTTAAATGATATAGCTGGATTTTTTCCTATTACTGAGCGACGAAACATTATTTCCTGCTCATATTTTCGAAATCAAACTGTTTTTAACTCTAAAAGAAACGAATCAGCTTCTTTTGCTCGTTACGTGAAAATGGATGACAAAAACCGAAGATTTGTAGGACATCAAAAAGCAGATCTAATCAAACATTGTTTTTACAACATGCAGTTATGCTCTCTTAACGACTTTATTCATTTCCTAAGCTTGCAATATGGAAACTGTTTTACTTTTAACAGAAGTGATTTAGAGTCGATATCAATAGGGTACAAAAGTGGTTTGGAATTACTTTTGAATGCAGAGACGAAACAATATTCGACTACTACATCTAGCGCGGCAATTGGTGTAAGAGTATCGATTCATAATATTTCAGAAGCGCCGAATCCTGAAGAAGATGGAGTAAATATCAGTCCTGGTTTCGAAACTTCAATTTCTTTGAAACAATATAAAATCGAACGTCTACCATCGCCATTTAAATATCACTGTCTCGATTACCAAATGCATAATTACTATAATAACGAAGCTGAATGTATCAAAATGTGTCTCCAAAGCCAAAGTTTGAATACTTGTGGTTACGTTGATCCTTCTGTCATTTTTATTTCAGATTTGAAGTACTGCGATTTTGCAAACAAAACAGACGTATGTTGCTTAGATGGTGTACAAAACCAAATCTCTGGGAATGTTTCCATTTGTGGTTGCCCTTTATCTTGTCATTCGACCTCATACCATAGAGAGATATCAAAGGCTGCTTTGCCATTCAAATCACGTTTTTTTGTTAATGGAACTAATTTATTAAAAATTTTCAGAGACAATTACGCCATTTTGGAAGTATTTTACAAAACTTTGTCTCACCGTACGTACAAGCAGTTACCCATGCCTCGTAGTAATGAAATATTTAGCTGTTTTGGTGGTACTATGTCACCTTGGCTAGGTATTTCAATATTTTCTTTTTTCGAAATCGCGGATACTTTAATTGTCTTTTGTCGTTGGGCGTCACATACCGTTGTTAAAATATTGCATAATCTTTAAATTTTCTCCCTGTAAACTAACAAAATTCATGGTGTTAACTGCTTGGATGTCCTGAAACACACTGGTGCTTTTAAAAAAGATTTGATAACAAGAAAACAAATGAGTTTGAAAAACAATTTATGTGAGAGAGCATAAATGTTTTTCTAGAATTTCATGCTTTAATTAAAGAAAATTTCAACAGATAGCGTTATATATTTTTATAACAGCAAGCGTTTTAGTCGGAGAAAAATTATCGAACGATTTTTAGATAACTCGATTTTTCGATACGTATGATTACGATAAGTATGTGATTTTTAATCGGTTTTCTTTAATTCTAATGGCGAATATTTCCACCGCTATTTGTCAAATAGTTTTGAACTAAAAACAAACTCTGTGAAGCTGTTATGCGAACTTCTTGTCTTGTTATATGAATTTAATGCTAGAGTTTGTCCCTTTCATCTTTACCATTTTCTTGCTAGAAATATTCTTGTTTCAATTACTAGGCAGCTATACTCCACGGCAAGTAAAGAAACGTCTTTGCGCATAATATTAAACTTGTGGTATTTGTTAAGCATTGTCTAGTTTTAAAAGTTCTTAAGAAAACGTTCTTTCTGCTAACTATTTCTTATTCTGCTTTATTTTTTGGTTTTGCATAGATTTATCTCGTTATATGTTAAAGAATTTTTAAAAAAATTATCTATTTAAGTGAAACTTTCTTATAGATGTTTGCTTCACAACATTCAATGTTTATGATGCCTTGTTTAGAAATTTTTAATGTTTCTTTGCCTGCTGTATTTGTAAAATATTGTCTAGGTTCAAAAGTTTTTAAGCAAGTGATTGTTTATGGGGTGCAATGTCAATTTTCGCATTTGTCTCCTTTATCTTTTAGGTTTTAGATATTTTAGCCTCTCACAACACTTGAAGCAAGATATTAAAAAAACAGTGTTTCAAGGGTAATATAATAGTAAAATAGTGTTGTTGTTGTTGCTAATTCCCATCTGGTCTGACGGGGTCAGACCAGATCAATAAATCCGTTTACATTTAGAAAATCCGAAACCGAAATGTGAGAGGAATGAATGTCATTCCAGCCCAGCCCTAAACAGTTCAAGATGTGCTCAGGTGATGCCTGATTTTGTTGGCATTTAGGGCAAAGAGGAAAGATCTTTTGATTAGCAGAAAATGTGAGACTTTTCAGGTGTCCACTGGCCAGTCGGGATAAGCAAGTGTTGGTCTGCCTGTTTCCAGGAAGAGATAGGGAGAGTCCTGGTCTTTTTGCTTTATACCAGTAGTGAGTAGGTGGAAGCAGCCACTTTTGTTTGTTCTGGGCCTTTTGCCTTGCGAAAAGTTCAAGGCATCTAAGCTCTGAGGTGGAGGGGACTGGTCTAGTCCCTTCTTTGCGAGAGTGTCAGCCAACTCGTTTCCGTGGATATCGACGTGGGACGGGATCCATTGAAAGTGGACCTCATGCTGCTGAGAAATGAGCTTTACTTTTTGTTAGATCGAAAAACTGGTTTTATCTCCAATGAGGGGCATTTACTATAAAATTTATACGAGTCTGAAAATCTTTGTTATTAAAGTGATTCGTCGTATTTTCAATTTTGATGATTTATTAATTGAAATTAACATTTATCACAATAAGTAAAAAGCTTTGAATAAAATTTTAAGCTCAGTCCCTGACTGATCCTAACACACCCCATCTTCCGACTATGAAAGAGGGGGAAATGTTTTTCAATCAGACGGATGTAGAACTTTTTAATTCTGGTGGTGATAAAAACTATTCAGGAACTTATGGACGACGACCATTATCTCGCCTAATGTCTCAATTAAGTGACACCAGTCAACCCTCAACTCTTATTCGAGAGAAACTTGACCAACTGCACACCTTTCAGCTGAAAGTTGACCAAGCAGCTGTGATCATAGTACAGTGAAACCTGTCAAGTTGACCACCCTTGTANCGCCTAATGTCTCAATTAAGTGACATCAGTCAACCCTCAACTCTTAGTCGAGAGAAACTTGACCAACTGCACACCTTTCAGCTGAAAGTTGATCAAGCAGCTGTGATCCTAGTACAGTGAAGCCTGTCAAGTTGACCACCCTTGTAAGTTGGACACCTGCATAAGTTGACCTCAATTATCAAGAACGGAATTTTTCCTATATAATATAAAGAAGCAAAACCTTTGTAACTTGACCACCTTTCTATCTTGTATGTTGACCACTAAAATAAGTCAATTTTGTATAGGAGTATTATGAATTTTTATTCTAAAACCCTCATAAGTTGACCAGAAAAAAAATTCAGAAAATTTTCTGTCATTTTGCAATGTAAGTTAAAAATTCACTTGTTTGGTGAAATTCTGTACAAAGCTAATCTAAACCCTTTTCTGAGTTGACCATCTGGGGAAACTGAAGCTGGTCAGCTTTTGACTATTTCCTTCATTCATTCTATTATTTTTGTAACAAATAGGTATGTAAGTGTAGTAATAACAGAATAAATTTTAAAGCGTTCAAATAATTTTGTTCTGTTAAAGTTTTCAAATTACATGTTTTCATTTTATGATATTTTTTTTATTTTTATTAAGCACTTCACATGCATAACTAACGAAATAATTTTCTTTAAAAAGTTTGTTAAATATTAGAATCATGTATATGTAACAAATTAAAGGTCATTCAGGTTTAAGCTCATTTCGTAAGATATTCATTTGGCTATTTGCTGAATAAAATTTTTAAGTCAAGTAAAAAAAATATTTAATATATGGCAACATGATATAGGAAGCGAAAAGGTAAACAATAACCAACTCCCTCTATAAGTTGCCCACTTGTCTAAGTTGACCACTAAAACAATGCACCACAAGTGGTCAACTTGCACAAGTTTTACTGTAGTAGTTTCTGCTGCCTATACAAAGTCAGCATTTTCACACCAACAGGTATTTTACTGTGAGCATAGGAAGAGAGTCGTCCTTGTGAACTGTGATTCTGCCACAATACCAAAATGGTTTCGGCTATTGATGGGAAATGATATGATTATGAAAAAGAACAATCCTGAATTTAAAAGTATTCTGAAGACACGTGTTAAGAGGGCCGTGGCAACTTTTTCATTCTTCTTTTTGTGGAACAAGAAATGATCGTCTGAAAATTATTATGTAAATGAAATGTTATTCTTTTTTACTAAAATTAGGAGTCAGATTTATTATTTAGAATAGAAGTAGAGAACAACAGAATTTTTTACTCTCTGATAGAGTCTCGTAACAGTAGGTCGGGAAAGCCTGGTTGGTAGGGCATTGGGCCTATCCCCACTGGCTGAAAACTCTCCGTGTAGTAAATGATAATTGGTGCACAATAAAACCGTCGGGTCACAAAATCCTCTGTGTTCCCATAACAAATCATACCTCTGTAGGTGTCAAAAAATACAAAATTAAAAATGACCTCAGATGAAACTCAAAGGACGTCGAATCCAATAATTAAGAAAGCTCTATTATTACGTTTAATAAAAAGGAAGATTTATTGACTCAACAAAATAATCAAAGCATCGCCATTACAAAAGAAAAAGAATCTTACTCTCTCTCAAAAACCATTTTCATTCCAAATCTATCACCATGGCAACTATAATACTCTACTCGTTGCCATCTACAATTTGACATACATAATTAGTAAATTATTTCACAAAAATTACGATGCGCTTAAGAACATCCTCCCTCCTAAGTTAACAACACTAACAAAGGAGTTAACTAATATAGCTTAAAGATATTTCATGTTAAAATGAAACTTTGCAGGAATTTTAAATAAAATTTAAAGTTCTAAATTACTATGGAGTTTTTATAAGGATAGTTTGTCAAGCTTTTTAGCAGCTCGTCGACTTCTAGTCAATACAGGAAGGTTTTCAGCTTCAAAAGGAGCTGGCAAATCTTCACCTGAAGAAACTTCTAGAGAATACACCCTTTGCACTGCCCTGTTCAGCTCTCCTTGTTTAGTTTTCATTCTTACTCGGCGTGCAATTCCATCAGTACCTGGCATTGTTTTGATCATTTTTCCAAGTGACCATAAGACCCTTTTCTTGTTACTCCTAACACTTCTAATGATTCAAGTTGATCATAAAGTTTCGGCAGAGATTTCTCATATTTGCCTTGTTTCTGTGAAACTAAAGCTAATAACTTTCTGACATACACTTGAATCAACAATTCCTCCTTTCCATACCGAGTTTTAAGTTGATTAATTGCGGAGGAAAACTATTTAAAAGCTCATCAGCAGATGATTCTTTTAACATGGATTGCTGTAAATAAAGGAACTTATCATAGTCGCCAATATTCGGATCTTAGCCAATTTTCTCAAATTGGCACCAAAAACTAAGCCAGTTTTTCTGATTTCCGTCAAAGACTGATCTGTGGATACTGCAAATTTATCCGACCAGCAACTAAATGGCTAGTAACAGACATATTGTGAAATAGAAGACAGTAAATTTTCCAATTTAATATCAAAAACTCTAATTTTATCAATATACGCTTCGGAATCGTCTGTTTCTTTAACAATTTCTTTTTCATCTCGAATTTCCGTAAACAACACAGTTCTTACATTCTCTTCAGATATAAGTAATTGCTTAACTTTTTCTGATATAATTCTTAACTTCAACAATTTTTCTTCATTGTTCATTTCGGCTTCAATTTTTGCAAAATCATTGCACGACTGAGTAAACAATCTACGATGCTGTGTCCTCACCTATTTTAATACTTTCATTTTCACTCAGATTCATTAATAGTCTTTTTCTAAAATCTCAACAGAAATTCAAAGTTCTGTCGCGAACGCTATATGCCAAAAAATACAAAATTAAAAATGACCTTAGGTAAAGCTCAAAGGACTTCTAATCAGATAAGTAAGAAAACTTTACTATTACGTTTAATAAAAAGGACGATTTATTAACTCAAAAAACTAATCAAAGCCTCGCCATTCCATAAGAAAATGAATCTTGCACTCTCTCAAAAACCATTTAGATTCCAAAACTATCACCATGGCAACCATAAAGCTCCACTCATTGCGATCTACAAACTGACGTATAATAAGTAAATTATTTTAGAAAAATTACGATGCCCATAAGCACATAATATCTTACAGTAGGTACTGAATTAGAAAGTGATCATTCTCTGGTTCAGGTCAAAATTATGAGCTATGGATGAATGAATGAATGTATGAATGTGTCCACCCTATAAACGGGTTGAGACGTGTGTGTGGCTGAAGCCGTATTCTTGTCCATAGAGGCCCCTCTGCCTTAAATTCGTTTGTTTTTACCAAACAGGCTTGGTGGCATTGACAAGTGGCATTAGAAACAACCAATATGTTGGAGGTTGAATAGGGTCAATGTGAAATATTCCACATTATGAATTCCACATTAGCCCAAATATCATGTGTCTAGACTAGTCTCACGAAGACGCGTATTTACATTATGCCTAATGCTGGTTAATTGAAAGTATTCAGAGCAAAAGTTCATATTAAAATAGGTGAAAAACCATCGAATTTATAACTTATCACCTTTCATTGAAATTTTGAAAATGAAATGTGTTAATAAAAATGTAAAGGGGAAATTTAAAAGCTAATTTTTCACCTAAAAACCTCCTTTTACAAATTTTTACTAAATTATTCACAGTATGATTAAGCAACTGCACATGTTGAACATCAATGTTACCAATCTACAATATCTCATAGACGAAATTTAACCAATAGAATAAAGTAAAACCATATATTTACTTATCTCTAAATAACATAAAAACACATGACATTTTTCAAACAATAATTTTTCAAATTTGCTTTATTTAGATAAAAGAGAAGCAGTTTCTTATGACTGAAATTTCTTTAATTTACAAAATTAATTATTGATAAATGTTTAAAGTGAATATGAATGAAAAAAAAATTCAAACTACTTTTTTTATTTTACATTTTAGTACTAATATGATTCTGATAATAAAGCAGATTTTTTAGTAACTTTTTTCATTGCTGAAAAAAATCAAAATATTTTTCCACTTTAAATTAGAGTGTCAGAAACAGAATATATAAAAGAGACGCAGAAAAATATATAAAAGATCGACATCAAAAGGTTAAGCCTAAAGGAAATGTAATTTCTTCTGTATCAACAAAACATCTTCGGTGTCTACGATTTTAGGAGATAACACCGTATTAGTCTTTATTAAATCAATTTTGCAAAATTTGACTGAATGCATATTTAAAAGCTGTTTTTGAAAAGTTAAAACTAATAGAAATGTCAAAGATAAAAAAAAACAACCATTTTGTTTCTGTGTGTACAATGCGCAACAATGAGAAGGAAAAAAACAACCACCCTGAATAACTTTTTTGATCTAATGATCGGATCTTCATGATCTAGAGCTCTATCTTAAAGTTCGTGAGGGAGACTTCAAATATGCTAATTAATATTATTAAATGCTGATACGAAATCAGACAAAAAATCGTACTTTCTCTGAAAAAACATTCCTTTTTTTTTACGAATTTTAAATTTCTGACCTCCTATTAGTTGATGACCTCCTGGTCTGATTTCGTAACTTAAAATAGCGTCTGCACATATTAATTAGCATATTTGAGGTCACTCTCTCGAGCTGTTAAGATTGAATCCTAGAACGTGAAAATACGATAATTAGATCAAAAGTTATTCAGATTTTTTTTTTTTTTTTTTTTTTAACTCTCTGTATGTATATAGATGTAACGCGCTTTCGTCTTTATCGCATTAATTTTCATCTCTTTTACTTAAAATATAACAGTACGCATATTACTCTTGTGGTTTCCATCACACATATTATATTTTTATTGGGTTTAAAATTATTGGTTAACTTAAAATAATAACACCAATATAGTGAAAATAACACTAAAGCACAGAAAAGCTATCTTTCTTTTTATATGCCACAATTGCGTTAAAAAGAAAGCTCTAACTTGCAACCGAAGTGGATTATTAATTTACATGCTGATAAATTTCTAAATAAAGCAGTTGAAAATTAAAAATTTATTCGGAAAAGAAGTTAGAAAATATTTTCAGAGCGTAGTTTTACTTCAACTATATAGTTTCGTCCCTTAAAATTTATTTCCGTTAATATTTTAATACATTACTCGATAAGCACAGTTAAGGAAAATAAAGATTTTTTTTTTAACTATACAACTTATAATTTTTCTGAAAAAAAAAAGCTTTTCTAGATCATCATCTTTGTGCCCCTCCATTGACCAACAAATGCCACAGATTAATTTTTCATGCAGATACTTTTAACATCTTAACTGCTAATAAATCATTATTTTGTTCCATTGTGTTTTTGTTTTGATAAAAGAAAATGAAATGATTTCCATAACAACAATGCAACTAGACTAATAATTAAATACAATATCAGATTTTTTTTTTTGAATTGTGAAGTATATATTGATTTATTTTAAAGACCAGTTTTAGTTAAATCTTTCTTTTCAGAAACCTTTGAATACAAGACAAATGCACAAATGTTATTTGATTTAAACAGTTTACAATATTTATGCCACCATGTTACCTGTTAGGACTTGCTTTTATTTATTCGTTGAATTTTTTCAAATCTTGTTTGACAACACGGTATTGATTTACTGATTCAAGCCATTTCATGCATTAAATAACGGGAACGTTTACAACAAAATATATTTAGAAGTATTTTAAATATGAGATATGTTGCAGTTGCACGGAAATTGTTATATCGTGATTTAGTTATTTTGTAAGTACTTTATTTTACTATAGTTATGTGTATAGTATGTTTATTTATGCATAATTTATGTATATAGTATGTATTTTAAAAATGTTTTCCCATGGGGAAAATGAGAGTGGTTCTAGGTTTTTCATGTCCGCACAAAGACGAGAGTCATAAAACTCAAGCGAACAGGATAATTAATAAAAAAGTAGTACAAGATTAAATAAAAGAAAAAACAGATCATAGTTTTGACACTTCTTGGAGTTGATTGTTTTCTACGCTGAGATTTTTCTTTTTAATTTCACTAGCGTGTATTTTTAATGTTTTTACATAAAATTAATTTAAAGTATTTTTACGTTCTTTTTATGATTAACTTATTCATAATTACCATCTTGCCCAGCAGTTTTACTATAAATATGAATAAAGAAGGTTTAAAGAAACAGCAGAACAAGATTAATTTTTTAAAAAAAATCGGACTATAATATTTGGAGATTCTCAGAGTTTTTTCTTTTGATTTTCACTAATGCGAACATATATTTTCGATCTTTTTACATAGAATTAATTTAAAGTATTTTTACGTTCTTTTTATGATTAACTTATTCATAATTACCATCTTGCCCAGCAGTTTTACTATAAATATGAATAAAGAAGGTTTAAAGAAACAGCAGAACAAGATTAATTTTTTAAAAAAAATCGGACTATAATATTTGGAGATTCTCAGAGTTTTTTCTTTTGATTTTCACTAATGCGAACATATATTTTCGATCTTTTTACATAAAATTAATTTAAAGTATTTTTACGTTCTTTTTATGATTAACTTATTCATAATTACCATCTTGCCCAGCAGTTTTACTATAAATATGAATAAAGAAGGTTTAAAGAAACAGCAGAACAAGATTAATTTTTTAAAAAAAATCGGACTATAATATTTGGAGATTCTCAGAGTTTTTTCTTTTGATTTTCACTAATGCGAACATATATTTTCGATCTTTTTACATAAAATTAATTTAAAGTATTTTTACGTTCTTTTTATGATTAACTTATTCATAATTACCATCTTGCCCAGCAGTTTTACTATAAATATGAATAAAGAAGGTTTAAAGAAACAGCAGAACAAGATTAATTTTTTAAAAAAAATCGGACTATAATATTTGGAGATTCTCAGAGTTTTTTCTTTTGATTTTCACNATATATATATATATATAGGTTAAAGGTTAGATAATCACAGAAACTTAATCTAATTCAATAAAATACGCATCTTATTAATTTATATAAGTTTATTTAACAGCTTGCAATGGATTTTCGCATGGATTACAATGATGGGCTTCCATAGCAGAAATGCTGAGAATTGGCAGAGATTTTTCTAGCCACGAAAATATGAAAAAAAAACATGCATTTTCAAAGGCTCCTGATATTTAAACAGGGATTCTAAAGGTAAATGGTTGCAAGAATATCGTTAATTTAATCAAACGTCATTCAGATGGGAATATTTAGAGATTTTTTATACGTTCCAAAGAGGATGCCATTCAGACGATAGGGAATTTTTGAGATTTTTTTAATGTGTATTTTTCTAAGAAATATTACCCATTAACTTCAGAACATAATCTTTTAGTTGTCATCTTGACTTTTTATGGTTCTTCGTTAATGAACGATTTCTACGTCTTTAATTTAATAATTAATAATTTTCCATTTTAAACTTATCATTTACTGTAGAAAGATTCATATGAGACATTTTAAATATTGCATCCTAATCCCCAAATTTCTTATATTAAATATGGAACTTAAGGAAAAAATTATGTTTAATTACTTGCAACCCTTTCCACCGTAATTTTTAATGAAAACTACTACAACACCCGCATCGAATTATCAAGTAAAATCATTTCAGCAAAACAAAAGTAACAAATGCAAAGTAAAAGTTTCGTATACGAAAACATGCAAACCTTTTTATTACCTATAACAATCAATAATGTTTACTTCACCATATCTTTTATAAGCAATTTATAAAAGTTTATGCACACATTATACAAAAAGAATTAGAGTCTCTAATATAATTCATTATTTTTCTGAAAAGTTCTGTGTAGTTATACCACAAACTGCTGTAAGTGAAGATTTTTTAAGAGTTAATAAAGAAAACACATTAAAAATATTAAACTTGAGAACACATATAGAGAAATTCATTATTCACATAACTTTTCAAAGTGAATAAAAAGAAATTAAAAAAAAGGACACAAATGTGGCATTAATCTTGTATCTCAGCAATATCGATACGGACGATCCTATCTCAAAATATACAGCAATGAAAAATATGATTTGTTTATGGCTGGTCCACATGAGGAACTTCGCCCCATGTTTGTTACGAATACGGGGAAACACAACAGTTGTAGAGTTATTAAGATGTCGGATCTTCCGTTAGGATATTTAAACTCTTCATACATGACTGTGTCACCAGGTGAAAAGTTTATATCTACAAATCTAGAATCGCAATAAACTTTATTTTTCTCGTAGTATCGTTTTGTATTCCTAGCTTTTCCGATTTTATGATAAATATTCTCTTTTAAAGGAGTTTCAAATGAAACTATGCCATTTAATAAACATGACGGAAATCCCTTTCCTTCATGTACCCCATTTATTATTGATTTATTGACAAATTAATATTAATTGATTATTTATTGACCATTTCTAAAAATAAAAAGAGACTAGTGTTTAGAAAATAACATGTACACACAAATAATAATATTGAACATCAGTCACATTGTAACTGTTCGTTTCATGTTTTATTAGATAAAAATGTTTGTGCAAATATTTAATTGAAAATATTTTTTTGCATTTTCAGAAAAGCATTCTTTAGCTAAAGGTTAAGCTCCTTATTATAAGAAAAACAAAACCAGGAGCAATTCATGAAAAACATACTGATAAAAAATAAAGATTTTAGGATAATATCAAACAGAATGTGTGAATGAATAAAAACAAAACTAATATTATGTCTTAATGACTAACGAATGTGACAAAGAATAAAATCATGCCTTATGCTATGACCACGGAAGTTCACCGCAAAACCAAGAAAGTTCTAGAACATTTGTGATGACGTCTGCAGTGAGGCACAAAAATGCTTTTAAAGCATATATATTTAGAATTAAAACCAACAGTCTCAAGTAAACGCTTAAAAGAATCTTCAAAGTATGTTAATACAAAGAATGCTTGACATTGAATTTAAAATCCATTAAGGTAGTTTAAATTTTGATTTTATTCCTCAATTTTGCGGCAATTGCATCACATGCACGATACAAAAAAATGTAAAAAGAAATTGTTTACAACAAATAGTTTCCAATCTGAACTGATTCAAGAACATGATACAAAAAGTTTAAAATAATAAAAAAAAGTGTGACTTTGGTTCTTCTCATTGATTTTTTGTGGTGGTTAAATTAAGATATTTTGAGACAAATTAATTTTGAAACACAAAAAGAAACTGAAATGCAGTTCTGAAAACGTTTTGAAAGAATCCTGAATCTAAACAATAATAATGAAACAAATGGATCAATATGGATTATGTTTGTTGTTTGGATCGTGACCAAAAACAGAAAATATTTTCATGATTGTGTCTTTTTTCATGTTATTCAATTTATTACCATGAAAAGGCACCAACTTATTTGAAATCACGTCGCACTTAGTCACACTGACCTCATTAACTACTTTTCCCTAATCCGGTCAAGCAACCAGAATTTAATCTCACCAACTAAGCTCCCCTAATGAAGCCACTTAGTTACTTGTAACTACGTATAGCCGAGAGTGCGAATCTGTCAGTCTCATAGCAGACAGAGCCCCAGCGTTACTCCTAAAGTTACTCCAGAGAAACTTCTCACAAACACGAGAACATTAAAGATGAGTAAATTATTCTGAAAGTGAATGAACATTTCTAGAAAAGTCATCATGTATTATTTAATTGTGACAAATATTTCCCTTCTTTATTCTGAAAATGATTTTATTTTAACATAAATAAAGATGTCTATTACAGATTACCTGTAACTTAAATTGAAAAAAAAAAATTTTAAGAAAAATTGTTTAACGAAAGTTTACCCTATTTCTTCGAAAGATTACTGAATTTATTTAAAATATGAATGAATACAATATAATCAATTTGAAAACGAGAGATACTGTTCAATATGATGAAAGCAAGAACATAGATGAAATCGTTCCAAAGAAAATAAGTAGAAAAAGTGCAAAAAACAAAAAGATATATTCCGAACAAGGGCGCTTTCAATTGAATAAGCAAAAGTGTACTTATAAGTTAACTTCTAGCCCTCGTGATCAGGACTCAAAAGATTCATCAATTCAAGTCTTATCAAAAATCAGAAAGGCAGACGCAAAAGTTAGAAAATTAATTTGGTTGTTATTACTGTTTATAGGAATCGGTGGGTGCGTTTATGAGACTCAGAAATTTATAAACGTTTATCTGACTTTTCCCATTGTCATTGCAGTTGAAGATGAATACGAGTTGAAACTGAAATTTCCAGCCGTTACTGTCTGCAACTTGAATCGACAGAAAGCTGCGTATGATAATTGCACAAACCTTGACATCATTAATGGTTGTTTGGACTTAAATGATATAGCTGGATTTCATCCTATTACTGAGCGACGAAACATTATTTCCTGCTCATATTTTCGAAATCAAACTGTTTTTAACTCTAAAAGAAACGAATCAGCATCTTTTGCTCGTTACATGAAAATGGATGATAAAAACCGAAGATTTGTTGGACATCAGAAAGCAGATCTAATCAAACATTGTGTTTTCAACATGCAGTTATGCTCTCTTGACGACTTTATTCATTTCCAAAGCTTGCAATATGGAAACTGTTTTATTTTTAACAAAAGTGATTTAGAGTCGACATCAATAGGGTACAAAAGTGGTTTGGAATTACTTTTGAATGTAGAGACAGAACAATATTCAATTACTACACCTAGCACGGCAATCGGTGTAAGAATATCGATTCATAATATTTCAGAAGCGCCAAATCCAGAAAAAGATGGAGTAAATATCAGTCCTGGTTTCGAAACTTCTATTGCTTTGAAACAATATGAAATCAAACGCCTACCATCGCCATTTAAAGATCATTGTCTCGATTACCATATGCACAATTACTATAGTAACGAAGCTGAATGTATCAAGATGTGTCTCCAAAGCCAAAGTTTGAATATTTGTGGTTGCGTTGATCCTTCTATCATTTTTATTTCAGATTTAAAGCACTGCGATTTTGCTAACAAAACAGACGTATGTTGCTTAGATGGTGTACAAAACCAAATCTCTGAGAATGTTTCCATTTGTGATTGCCCTTTATCTTGTTATTCGACCTCATACCATAGAGAGATATCAATGGCTGCTTTGCCAATCAAATCACGTTTTTTTGTTAATGGAACTAGTTTATTAACAAATTTCAGAGACAATTACGCCATTTTGAGAGTATTTTACAAAACTTTGTCTCACCGTACGTACAAGCAGTTACCCATGTTTCGTAGCTCTGAAATATTTAGCTGTTTAGGTGGTGCTATGTCACTTTGGCTAGGTATTTCATTATTTGCTTTTATTGAAGTCGCGGATATTTTAATTGTCTTTTGTCGGTGTGCGTATCATACCGTTTATAAAATATTGCACAATCTTTAAAATTCGTACCTACAAACTAACACAATTCCGTCTGTTTATTTATTGGATGTCCTAAAACACACTGGTGGTTTTTTAAAAAAAAAAAACTATAACAAGAAAAGAAGGGAGTTTAAAGAACAATTTTTGCCAGAAATTCATGTCAGTGAATATAATCGATATTCCAGAATTTTCGTTTTTCTGGTCTTAATTTAAAATTTTTTTGACAGGTGGCGCTATAGATGTTTGCAACAGAAAATGTTTTAGTCGGAGAAAAATTACCGAAAATCAAGTAGTAATACTATTTTTTCATCCATTTACCATTAGTATGTGATTTTTATTTGGTTTTCTTTGATTTATATGTTGAATGTCTGCAGCTTCATCTGTCAAAAAATTATGAACTAATAACATTACGTCTGGGAAGTTTTTTTTGCGAACTTCTTGTCCTGTTATACGAATTTATTCTTAGAGTTGTTGATTTCATATTCACCGTTTTCTTGTTAGAAATATTCTTGCTTCAATTATTAAGCAGCTATACTCCATTGCAAGATAAGAAACGTCTTTGCGTATAATATGAAACTTGCGGTGTTTGTAAAGCATTGTCCAGTTTTAAAAGTTCTTAAAAAAAAGTTCTTTTCTCTAACTATTTCTTAATTATGCTTTATTTTAAGGTTTTACATAGATTTATCTCGTTATATGTTAATGAATTTTTAAAAAACTTATCTATTTAAGTGCAACTTATTAACATCTTTTTGCTTTACAACATTCAATGTTTATTATGCCTTGTTATGAAAATTTTTAACGTTTCTTTGCCAACTCTATTTGAAAACTATTGTCTAGGTCAGTGGTTCCCAAACTTTTTTGACCCATAGACCCCTTTTTATAGTCAAAACATGCCCTCGGACCCCCAAGTGATAAACTGCTTATATGTACGGTGTAAAAATTACAAATTAAAAAAAAAACTATTTAAGGACTATGTATTGAAATTATATCTTTCATTTGAAATAAAATAAATTAATTATTGACTTTAATGAACGTGATGAGAATTTAAGAGTGTATTTATGTTCGGTTCAATGTTTGCGAGTACTAATTTCTAATTATTTATTTATTAATATTTTTTTGTGATAAGGTTCATTACGGCACTGAAGCTGAGAGAACAATATTCTCTTCCCAAGTTTTATTTATACAGAAAAAGTTTTGCAACAAACGCAGTTTTACGATTTTAGTTTTGATGAAATTTAATTGTTCATCTTGTAGTTTCAAATTAGTTTCGTTAAGTTTGGCAAATGTACTGAAAGAACATTCGTTGCAGCTTGTTTTAACTCCAGAAAACCTCCGTATCTTCCTACCATTGCCGGAGCACCGTCAGTAGCTACAGAAATGATATTAGTCAAGGGTATAGCTTTTAATTCAGTCAATAGAGCTTCACCTTTCGTATCGCTTTCCAAACATTTAGCAAATAACAATTCTTGGTAAAATATTTATTCTTTTACAAATCTTACATAAGCTAAAAGTAAAAATTTCGTTTCCTGGATAAATGGACTCGGCAAACTGTATAGAAAATTCAGATATTTTTAAGTACTCACATAAAGAATTTTCTAAGCACTGGGATATTTTGTATATCCTTCTTTGTACATTATTATTACTCCGTGGAATTCTTTTCACAATGTTAAAAGCTGGTTTGTGCAACCCGGTGAGTATTATCTCACTTACAGCTAGTAAAATAAGTTCTTCATTAGAGTGAGGCTTGCCTGATGACTTTGCAATAATGTAATAAATAGAAACATGCGATACTACGAGAAACATGCAATCCATCGTCACCTCGCATAGATGTTGTCCCTATAAGTTGTTGCAGTGACGGTGTTTTCAGATATTTTTCTTTGACTGATTGAAAAATAGTTAAATCTTTATCTTTTTCGTCACTATGGATTTTTAACAATTATTCGTTAAGCTTGGAATATTTCATTGAATCACTTGTTGTAGTTTTATTACATAGAAGACGCATAGGTAAAGTACTATTTTCTAGTGAATACTTCAAATATTCAACACTGAATTTTCGGCATTTTTTCTTCGATTCATTCATACTGTTATCGCTTAAAAAAGGAACAAAAGATATAAGATAATTTGTAAATCAACTGTTTAATTTGAAACAAACTACTGTTAATAATTATAAGCACCCACCTTTATTTATAGCTTACTTAAGACGTAAAAATTGCTACTATTTTAATTATCTTAATTTCCATAATAAAAAAGAACCAATCATAATTTTATTATTTTATATTAAACCTCACGTGGACCTCCTGACATTGTTCACGGACCCCTAAATCAGTTTTCATTTCTTACAGACACCCCTGAATGGTACCACGGATCCCTGGGGGTCCATAAGGACCACTTTGGGAAACACTGGTCAAGGTTTAAAAGTTCTTAAGCAAGTAGTCGTTTATGTGGCGCAATGTCAATTTTCTTATTTTTCTCCGTTATCTTTTAAGTCTTATATATTTTAGACTCTCACAACAACTGAAGCAAAATCTTCAAAATAATTAGTATTTCAAGGGTAATGTAAGAGTAAAAAAAGGAATACATTCACTATAAAATTTATGTTAATCTGAAAATCTTTGTAATTATAGTGATTCATTGTATTTTCAAATTTGATGATTTATAAATTGTAATAAACATTTATAACAATAAGTAAAAAGCTTTGAACGAAATTTTAAGGACAGTCAGAGAATGACTAAAATATAAGTATCATAAAAAGTTATTTTCAAGAAAATGTTTATATTTTGCGCAGTTACGTTAATGCATTCATGAACAAATGAACAATTTTGCATTTAACTTTTTATCAACTAATAACACCATTACAGTACCGTGTTTTATTTTTTGGTGCGTGCTGAACATCTTATATCAAAAATTATTCAATTCTATTTTCTCTATTGAAGAGAAAATATCAATCTCTAAGAGAAAATATCAATCCGCTTTTATTGTCCTATTAACCAGTGCTTTGAAATACAATCAATAAAAAATAATTTGAATTTATAGGAATTCCCTTTCAAAATTAATAATTTTTACTCTTTCTAAATATTTACTTCAACTCACGATATTACTAACTTGCTGTTCATATAAACATTCACGAAAATTGCAGCTTATGTTCAAGTTTATTTTCGTTTTAAAGCTGTGTTTCGTCCCGTAAGCTATTGTCACATGGAATAAGGAAATTTTGTTTTTATTATCGATCTGAAACTCATTATTTTTTGGAGGGAAAAAGGACAAGTTAATTTTAAACTAAAAATATTTAGGATATTAGAAATTATGTATACTGAAAATTTTGTGCTATGAAATAAAAAAAGTTTTTATAATAAAATTAAACAAAATTCACAGAAAATCGCGGAGAAGTTAGTCCTATAATTTCAAACTACCGACATTAAGACAGTTTAAATGCTAAACTAATGATGAAGCCGCTGCTGAGAAAACTGTGATTAAAGATTGAAAAATATCTTTGAAAATAAAATTAGTTTGTAATAGTTTTTAGTCTTATATTAACAATATATCTCTAGAAATTATATAATATTTAATGGTATACATTATATTAATGAAAACAAGATTCAGTGATGATTAAAAACAACAATAAACGTAAAATGATGCTGTTTTCCCAAATGTTTAAAATTAAGATTATAGAATTATTGATGTTTTTTATAAGGTAAGACGAAATATTTTCTGATAGTGAAATAATCTTAAACTTGTAGAAATGAATTATATTGACTGATTCTCGATTGTGAAAATTGGATACAAGAAGAAAAATTTCAAATTGAAAAGCAATAGCACTGACAAATTTCGGTCATTTATCTACTGAAGTTTCTGATAAGTGAAGCAAATTACATTTAACCAAAACACTGCAATATAAGAAACAGTCATTTTTTAAAACAAAAATGAAACACAATTCGAAAAAAATAAGCAACTATCTAATGAAAGCTGATTTTGAAGAACAAAACTCCTTTCAATTAAAAAAAACACCAAACAAGCCTATCTAGTTCGCGGCTCGACTTAATCCTTGAATACTTTTCAAAGAAATCACAAACTTATTTTAACAAAGACAAAGCACTTAACTTCATAAGAACTTGGTCTTTCAAATCTAGTTATCACTTCCTGTTACGAATTTTTAAAGAATCTCCTATTTACTTCTTTTCACGAATTGGAAAAGCAAGTACAATTGGATGAAAAACTATTTGGATACTGTTTTTATTGATAGGAACCATTGGATGCATTTATGAAGCTGTCAGGATCGTAAATATTTATCTAACATATCCTATTGTTATAAATATAGACGAAGAACATGTTTCAAGTATTCCCTGCTATAACTGTATGCAATCTAAACCAAATGAGAAAAATATTTTCACATTGCATTAATAAAGATATAATATAAATTAATATGCATGGACATTCATTAGGTGCAGCTTTTATGGCAAAGCATTTTTAACTACAGTTTATGATTCATTAATAATTAATTATTTATAGACTATTTAAATATACAAGTTCTAACTAGGTGTAAAAAATGTAAATTAACTCATGTATCTAATTAAAAATGTAAAGTCAGGTAGAGGGGATCTAAATAACCAGATTTTAAATAAGAATCCAAACACGGAAATGTAACGGTATTGCTGCAGTACTTAAAGTAGTATTAATCATAAATAAGTGAAACTTTCAAATTTGACTCTTGAATAAATAATTTATACACAGTTTACAATAGCTAACAATCAAACTGTTTACAATAAAGCAATACGAGATTCACGACTGCAGCGCATGGATTAGCTCACATTAGTAGAAAACTACAGGCATGCCACACACGCTTCCAGCAGTAACAGACAGTTGGGGAACCACATATTCTTCAAATCTGATAGAACAATCACATACGATGCTTTTCATTTAACTTAACAGAAGAAATCCAAGTAGATCAAATCTGGACAACGTGGGGACCACCTGTACAGCCGTATGCATGAAGTGCATATCGACAAACTCCTCAGTGGAGTAATAATGCATTTTGCTTGAAATCCGTACGAAAAATAAAAAATCAGCAAATGAAGCTCTTTAGTATGCCGAGCATAACAGCTTGGCCATCTCAGAATTTTCAACACACATGCTTATTTAGCCCTCAGTCAGTCTTTACATTTTTAACAAATAGTTTTGACCCACCCTACATAATAAGAGCAGTTTAAAATGTCACCCTAACACGGTATTTTAGAAATCTAATCATAATTGTTTTCTAAATTTATTGTATTAAAGATTTGTATGTTTTAAATATTGGTATTCTGTTTCGAAAAAAAAATTATATTTAAGAATGAGTATTCAAAAGAGTTTTTAAATGTTAGATACGTACGCATATAGTTTTGAGTTTGGTGCAACAATGTTTGAAACTCGAAAATAGTCTTTATTCGGTACCTTATTTTATTACATTACGTTATAACAAATCATTGAATTATTTTCCTATATATTTCTAATAGCATTCTTTAATCACTAGTCAAAGACTTTTTAAAAAATAAAAATTTGATTGTGACTTTTGCTATTAAAATCAAAAATTTTGCACCAGTTTTTATAAGCTTTTATTTTATTTGCTTATTTATTTGCGACAGCCAACTTTTAATGAAATAATCTTATTTTAAAATTTCAATAGATGCAGGATTTAAACTCATGACTTATATGCTTGTTTATTAAATGTAAATCTGGCAAAATGTAGTTGCCTTTTTAGAAGTCTAAATATTCTTAAACATTTAATAAATATTCATAATTACTTATATTTCGAAGAAAAAAAACAAGCATTGACTAAAATGTTTCATTTAAAAAATTAATAGTTTACGAAAAAAAATTTATACATGAGATTAAGTAATATTTAACTATTTGAAGTTTTATTTAAACATCACAAATTCACAACAGGAGGAGAAACTTCAATAATATAAAAAGGAAAAAAGTTCTTTAAATAAGTATAATTAGTCATTATTTAAAACTAGTGTTTTGAAAATTTACGAGATTCCTTAAATTTACATTTTCTCAAATAAATTAAACTATGAATACGCGTGATTATCTGACTATTGAATTGTTTGTTATTTTCGAAAAAATGTATCATACATGACTTTTGGGTCCATTATCTAAATTCAATGAAAGCAATTTGCTACACAGCATAAAACGCGAAAACTTTATTTTATTGTCTGAAATTTCAAAAAGAATATTCTGTATAATCAAAGTGTTTTTTATATTTTTCATCTACTTCTTTTTCTTTTTCCTTTACGAAATGTTTTATTTTGTACAAATGACACGCAATAATATAAATAATGCAGATAGAAATTTCATTAAAGTAATTTTTTTTAACTTTATTGATTTGAAATTGGATATTTCAAATTGAAAAACTCACAATGCATAAAGAGATAATTTAGTGTTTTTTATTTATTTATAATTATTATAAGTGATTTTTCTGATACTATAATGGGAATAATTGTCTGTGCTCAAACTATTTCAATTGTGTAGTAAAACTATTACAGAATCATGTAAAGTAAATTATTAAAAACTATTCATGTAGCAAAAGGCACAAATGATATTGTTTACAAATGTGTGCTGTATTTTAGGTTTGTTGCTAGCTGCACCAACCGTGCAAACTGAAATTTGTAGTAATAATCATGATTTTAATATTACAATGTATTCTTGATATCTTTAAAGATATTTGATTTAAGATATTCTGAGCTATAAAAGTCTCCTTTCTGACAATTCTGCTATCCTCGACTTATATTTCATTCATTTTAAGAATAATTTCGCCACGAGTTCACGTGATTTCTCACGAAAGGGAACTCTTAAATATATGACGAAAATGTTTCCTCAACTCAGAATCTCGTAGTGCATGGTGGGTGATAGTTAACTAGAATGACGAAACTAAAATAAAGACCAGACTATTGAAAATAAAGTGACGGATCAAGCCTACCAGCCGGTATGGTGGTCAAGGACTTGGCATCGAATCATGAGGTTCAAGGATTTGAATCACACTTCAGGCAAAGAATATATAATGTATGTTCACTTATATATTCTTTGCTTCGGGCATGGGTGTAATTTTTCTATCTGCCCTTCTGGTGATGTTTAGGCGACATTAATCCCCCGTATGGTGCCCACGGTAAAGTGACTAGAAGGCCTGTATGGTGACCACTGTAATTGGAAATAGAAAAATTAGATACATTAGTGAATTAATTTAATTTAAAGTTAAAGAATAAATGCCATTCTACTTAATAGTAAATATGAGATATTATATTTCCCGTAATTCTTCGAGAGCTTTGTGAATAATTTGTGAATTTTGTGAATTTATTTTAAAATACGAGTTATTTAAGTTAATAAGAATTGTGAAAAGAATTAATAACTGTGCAACGTAAACCTGAGCCATTCGTATTTCTTTCAGTGTTAGTGATATATTTAAAAGTGGATAAAAATACCCTTTAAATAATTCAAAATCAGGAATTTAATGATTATTGTGCAATAAACATATCTAGAAAGTCCTTAAAAGGTGAGTGGCTCGTTCAAATAAGTAAGCAACAACTAATAACTAAAAAAACACGAGGCACCATTTAACCACATATTCTCAATAAACATATTTCCAGACTCTTCGAAATTAACACACTCTATGAAAAATACATAAGTATCATAAATTTGATTTGAAAATAATATGCAGTATTGAATTTCGTAATATTACGAACTAAGCATTTTAGGTTTTAAGATCTGCAACTTTTTTGAAAATGAATGAACACCTTCACATTAATTTGAAAATATGCAATCTAATCCATTCTTCATGCAGTTCATAATCAGCACTAAAATTACCAATTTCCATAGCTTTTGTGAAGATGAATGATTTACTTTAAAAAAGAACTTTCGTAATCATATTAATTTGAAAGTATGTAATCAACTGTACTATAATTCTGTAACTATAATATGTTATAGAAAAGGAGCCAACGCCTTCGGAATAACATAAACACTAGTTGCTTTCCAACTTCATGAGCATAATGATATTGATGACAATTACTATATGACAATTACTTACGTTTAGTAGGTCTGAAATGTCACTGTGGCTAGGTATTTTTTTTTTTTTGAAGTTGTAGACATTTTGTTATCTCTACGTCGTCAAACATTTTAGTCTGCTGCTTTTATGTAACTTGTCAGTCTTACAAGCTATGACCTATATTCCGAATATTGAGGGATCTTTCTATGTGTTCCGTTTTTAACTTTTACTTCGTTAGAAACTGTGCATTATTTGGATGCCAATTGCTGGTTAGATGCTTCATTATAATGATTAAAGCATAATGTACTATTGTGCTCCGTTTTAATCCGTAAACGTTCGCCAACTCCATGAATAGTTACTGAAAACACATTTCAAAGGTTTTTCACCTCACTACTGCCACGATTGCCTCTCCAATCATTTATGTAATATAAAAATTCTTTCAAGTCCTTTCGGTCAATTGTGCAGCATTCGTGAAGAAATGGCCATTCGAATCATTGCCCTGCACTGGACTCTGGACACTTACGGGGTTAATACTGGAGAGATCTGCATAAGATGAACGATTAATAGAATTACAGTGGTTTCAGTTTTGCTACTGTTATCTCTGTTTCTTGTTATAAATTTATTGTTTGTTTTTCAATATACAGTTGTCTTTTAAACTGCCATTAAAAATATTAAAAAATATTTCAAAAGTGTGCCAGACAAACGTTGTTCACTTTTATCAGACAGTTTGCGGCAATTATAATTTATACTCTGAAAAAATAAGTATGGTCAAAAGTACCAGAATATAGTAAATTTACCAATTTTCTGATAATTTTATCAATACGTTCGATCAAAACGATCGCTGTAATTTTTAACGAAATACTTTTGTAGGGATTTTGATGTAATTAACGATAAAATATTGTTTTATAACGCGTGGTAAATGTGGTATATTTTAGCAATTTTATCATACCTCAGAGCATGGTAAGAAAAAAAAGCTTATTCCATTAAATTTATTTTTCAGTTTTGTATTATTTACTAAATGTGTAGAAATAAGAACTGCAATTAATCTTGAAAGTCTTAGTTTTCAGTAAAACCATTACAATTTGAATATAAAAATTACCAAATGACTGGTTTGAAAGCCGAATATTTAGGTTTTATGACTAAAATCAGGATTTTTACCAGAAAGGACATTACAGAATTGTAATTTTACCAGAATTCTTCGCCATGTAATATTCACTAAGTGCAGCGCTTCTCAAGACTATGAATGATGACGGATATGCCCAACGAATGACGTCATATTTAGTGGATTGGATTAATTTATGAGTTTTTCTTACTTCGGTTTTAAGTCATCTAATAGAATTTCTGGTTGGCGCAATTGCTATATAATATATAAAAAGTTGTTTTCCTATTAATTATTAAAAACAAGATTAATTTTCATTTTTAAGCTGTAAGCAGTGAATCTCTTTTATTTCAGTCCTAATTATCTGGCACCGGGAGTTAGTTCCCTGATATTTATAGGGTTGTATTGGACAGAGGAGTTTCAGTTATATTGTAAATAGTTAAGGCTGATAAACAGTAGTCTCTAATGAAATATTTTATTTGATCAGAAAATATGGGTAAACTACGTCTTTGGGTAAGGTACGGGTAAATTTCGTAATAGGTGGAAAATAATATGAACAGTTTTTTCCACGAAAGTTAAAATTTTTCAATTAAAAATGCAAGTACCCAAAAAAAATTCTGTTTGGTTACGCCTGTGCCCCCATTGCCACTTTATTAATATCAAATGTGTTATATCTGTAACTGATTCATATTTCTGATAGTGGAAGTAGGCCGGGATAGCCTGGCTGGCAGAGCGTTAGGCCGATACCCGTCGGCCGAAGACTCCCCGTAAAGTAAATGATGATTGGTGCATATTAAAACAGTCGGGTCACCATGTCCTCTATGCTAGACGTGGACTATACGGTTAAGGGTTTTGCAAACCTAGATACGTGACCACGTCTGGAAGAAAAGGAAAAAAAAGTCCTCTATGCTTTCATAACAAATCAAATCTCTGTAGGTACTGAATTGCAGAGTGATCGTTCTTTGGGTCAGGACAAAATTATGAGCTGTGGATGTATGAATGTATGAATGCGTCCGCCCTATAAATGGGCTGAGATGTGTGTGTGTGTGCGACTGAGTTAGTATTCTTGGAAGTTGATGGCCAAGAAATGCCTCTCTGCCTTAAATTCGTTTGTTTACCAAGCAGGCTTGCTGGCGTTGACAAGTGACAATAGAAAAAAACAACGCTTTGAAAGTTGAATAGGGTCAATGTGAATATTTCCACATTAGCCCCAATACCATGTGTCTAGACTAGCTTCACAAAGACACGTATTTGCATTATGCCTATAGTGTATCTACCACAACGAAAATGCAATTCCCATTCACTAGTACATAAGACATGTTAACTCGATTCTATGTGGGGGTACCTTTACATAAACGAAGGTTGACATTGTCGATAATAACACTCCCCTCATTGGTGACACGGACGTGATGTGAACACGCTTAACTTGGGAGTAATGCCCACTACGATTTGATCAAGCCTACTTTGATGGGTGGTCCACATTAAACAGTTGACTTGCTAGTTGTGAATAGCGATACTGTTCTCCTCACGCTGTTTCTTCTCAGTCTTGATCACACACAACGTCCAACGTATACACTCGACAGCTAAAAGTAACACCAAGAGCGACCACGACCGTTAACTTAATACAGCTCTTACGATCAGCACTTAAAAATTACGGTGTTTTTAATACAGCTGTCCCGGCTTCTCATAAAATAGCAATGAATCAATTAATGGTATCCTTTCATCGAATTCTGTCACAGATATATTTCTGCTGGGGGAGTACTGTAATGTATCTACCACTACGAAAATACAATTCCAATTCACTAGTATATACGACATGTTAACTCGATTCTATGTTGTTTTTATACCTTTACATAGACGAAGGTAGACATTTTCGATTGCAACACTTCTCACAATTCCTAATGCTGGTTAATTGAAAGTATACAGAGCAAAAATTTATATCAAAATATGTAAAAAATCATATAATCTACAGCATAATACCTTTTATTGAAATTCCGAAAATAAAATGTGTTTATAAAAAAGTAAAGGGAAAATTTAAAAGCCAATTTTTCACCGAAAAGCCTCTTTTTACAAAGATCTACTAAATCATTCACTGTCTGATTACCCAACTGCACATGGAAACGAACATCAATGTTACCTATCTACGATATCTCATAGATGAAATTTGACCGACAGAAAAAAAAGTTATTCTTGATGTTCCCTTTTGTCCCATGTGCACACTAGCCATCTTCTACCCTAATAGTAAATTAGAATAAAGCATATAAATATATAAGGATAATATCTTTAAATTAGGGATACATAATATTTTACAGGAAAATAACGCTTTAATGACTTTTATTAATTTCATGCTAATGACCAACAAAAAAATAAGGAAATTAAAGTGGAAAAACTGGATCCTACCAGGTGATTTTTCTGGCAATGAAATTGCACCGATGAAAATTGGAAACTATGTTTGAACATTATGTTTTTATGTTATTTAGACATAATTAAATATATGGTTTTACTTTATTCTTATATTAAATTCATTTCTTTTGAATTCTTTGAAACTTTGCATATAGAATTTTAATACTAT